AATACAGTTCTTAGCAGAATACATTAACAGGATAATGAAGTAGAGTCACATGTGAGTATACAAGCAAGCACTTTACACAGCACAGTTAATCAATGCCCTGGTAATTACCCTGTCTCACAGTTGCTTATCTGTCATGCCCACAGATCAATCCACTAACATCTTGTATAGTTTAGCTTCTCCTCTATTTCCAGGGCTATGGTGCTCAGTGAGCTGCTGGGCTTGGGTGTATTTCACCAAGAGTAAATCAGGAGTTAGTATTTAGAAAAGAATAGCCATATATTTATTCAAGGTATTCAAAGAATCATGGCACCGAGACAAGGATGCCCCGTCCTGCTGCCAGCTGACAACACAGAGTGAACTACCTCACATTTCACAGCCCACATTGCACAAATTTGCCAAGTGGTTTTCCTCAGGCAAGAAGTAGAGAGGAAAGAGGAAATCATAACTAATTATTGCCCATACTGCCCCAACAGAGGCAGAAACCCTGCCCTCCTGCTGCAGCCAGTGGCAGATCTCCCTCCAACATGAAGGCGGCCAGGTCTGAGGCCAGGATATTTTTCAAGAATAATTTTCCATTTTCATAAAACAAGGTTGAAATCATGGGCTTCTTGGTATTGCTTGATGAAACCCTGTAGTTGTGCCCCACAGCAAGCTTGCTGTAACCACAATGCAGGGCTTGGTCTTAAAAACACCTGCTTTTTCCATGCTGCAGGTGTGAGGATGCCAGCACGCACACTTCACACCATGCCAAGAAAGTGCTGCAGATCTTCACTTTTCTGCCAGCACACCACATGGCTCATCTTTGCCAAAGCACTGAAATACACTCAGCGTTCTATGTCAAGCAGCATACTCCTCACCTAAACAGCATAATTTAGCCCTTTCATCCCTGAATTACTAAAATAGAGTCCTCAAATCCCAGATTTTTTTTCCTATTGAAGACAACACTTTGACATTATCATTCAAGAGACCTAAATAGCCATCTAATTTCTTATTTCTCTTACAAGGTGGCTAACAGAGCTTTTAGCCATAATAAGCACACACTGGAACATGTCAATTGTCTAAAAGGAGGAAGATAAAAATAGTCTTAAGGCAAATGTCTTCAGTGTGTTGAGAAAGGTAGCAAAAATTCACTCAACAGCTTTATTTTCACAGGACATTTCCCCTCATCAGTGAGCTGAAACTGTACAGTCATCTCCTGTGTCCCTTGGAGCATGGAACGAATGCATCGGTAAAGCAGATTTATTGAATGAGAACATTTTCTCAAAGCTTGCAGTTTTAAAAACATTAAGAAACCCTGCACACAAGCACAAAATAATATCTTAAAAATTGTATTAAACCAGTAATGATTTTTTTTCTTTGGATTCTATTAAAATATTCTTAGGGGCTACATTTATGTGGTCACTGCAAAGACACATGGCTAACTCAAATAAGGGGCTTTCATTTTTCCATATTTAAATTATTGCTTTCATGCTTTAGTTGCATCTACTTAAGAAAACATGAAGATGCGTAATGTAGTAAATCCAATAGATATTACTAACATATTCTGCTACAAATAGCTGCAATAACTACCATCCTGCATGAGTCTCAGAGAAAAAAAACTTGCTGAGCAGCCAACTCCTGTAGCGATGTGATCGCTACACATCTCAGAAAGCCTCAGCTGAAGACTAGGATGTAAATGGACTGTGAAGATGCTCTGGCCTAAAAGCAGACACATTTCTGTCAGTTGCCATTTCTCACCTCTGTGGCAAACCAATGTCAAGAAGGAAGGAACTATAAGCTGCCTCACGATCCTGAAAGTGATTCTCGAAGAATAAGCAAAATTTCTGACTCCGCCATGCAATCAGCTGCCCACTGCCCAACTTCCTTTTGGCATCCCAGTTCTGACCAGAGTCAAAGGATTTAATGGCAGTCCACATCAACAGTTTACCTGCACAAAAATTACTACCAGTGCCCAACTTCTGAAACTGAAAAAGAGCTCTCAGGACTCCTTAACTCTGTAAAAATAATATTTTGGAAATAGTATTCTAAAGACAGATATAGTACTGCTTACAGTGATAATTAATAAAATTAGTATCTCCATACTGAGCTGTTCATGCATGCTCCAAGATGAGTTACAGAAGATAAAAAACAAACCAAAAAACAAATCCAAATAAACAACATACTACATAAAAATATTTTAAAATATCATCTGTTAAAGCCATGAGAAGTTAACAGACCAAATTTAATGTACCTCCAGTCTACCCCCTTGATGTACAAGGTAGCAAGAGTGTTCAAGGTATTCGAACACAACTTTTAGACTACAGAAAAATCAAACTAATAAATCAAAAGGGCAACCGACTAACAGAAAAAGTAAATGAACAGTTTTGGTTAAAAACCCTGAACTACATCTTTTTTTTCCTTCAAGACTTACTCTCATTACAGAGGATCTGTTCATCTTACGACCAGGTTCACCTCTATAAAGGCAGCAAGTCAACAAGTGAGGGCAGACTGGGCTGCAAGCCACAGATGAATACCAAGCTGCTGGGTACTAAGCAAGTCTGACTTCCCATGATGGGCTGTACTCCCAGCCTCACATGTGGGAAAATGATCCATTGCTCCAGCCTCCTCCTCTAGCGCACTTTCACCACATCACACAGGGAAGTCCAACTTTAACCACACACATCAAGTAGAGGGCTGGTTGATGGAGAAATGACAAATACTGGCCACATTCACCATTTTCCTCCAGTGTAAGTAATTATGTGGCCACTCTTCTCACAGTAGACTCTTGGGAACATCAGTATCTAAGGCTTTTGCTTCTGCTTGGTTTTTTTTCTAGTCAGGGTCAAAGGATGAATGGCAGCATAGGAGTAAGATGCAAACACAAGTGCAGGCAGACAAAACTTTGTAAGCCTCAATTACAAGGAAATCAGTCAAAAAATAGCATAGGGGGGATTTAAAAATATACAACAGGAGCTAAGTGTAAAGCATTAACAGGAACAAGGTGTTTAAATGTCCTAAAATTTTTGCCTCCAGCAAGCAATGCCTACCTTGCTACCTAACACAGGAGACAGTCAACTGCTAATTTTTCGTTCAAAACTGTAAGTCAGGAAAGACACCTTAAAAGTCCAAGTCCAGTTGCTGACTCCTGCAGGGAATTGCATATAACCATTTCATAAATTTATGAGCTTCCTTCTAAATTACTAGACTTCTTATTCTTTCTAACTGAAGACCACTGTAGCTCCTCAATCTTGCAGAAACTTCCTCATAATTTCAAGATTAAATTTATTCATGGCCAATTTATATTCATTTGCTCTTGTGATGACACTGTCTTTTATCTGAAATTAGGTTGTAAGTTCTCCAGGGCACTGACCAAATCTACATAAGTATAGAGAATCCTGAGCATAATAGTTCTGTGACCGTAATTCAGAGTTTTACTTATGATGAAAACAAATAATAAAAATTAGTTTTTATAGTTCCACTAGGCTGATTATCTCCCACCATATCTCTAATTAATGAAAGTGCACTCACACATAATCTGATCAAATATATAATGATGAAGCTAGGTAACACTGCAGTTCTGCCCCACCTCTAACAAGTTACTTATCTGGCTCTACAAGTATATTGACACTATACAGTCAATGATATTTTTATCTTGATTGTGGAAAACTAAAGAAAATATGGCAACAAATGGGTAGAAGAGCACACCCCTTTCAGCATTAAAGTTTTTGGTAGAAGTGACCAACTTAAGTCACACAGAAGTCCAGAAAGCACACAAAATACAGCAGGTTCCTTCCTGCAGCCAGGATTTATGCCTAGAAGTAGGTCCTCGCCCCCCATCAAAAGTCTTAAATTTGGGTTCTCCTTGAACACTTTTGCTCAGAAGAAAGTTGTTATTCTTACCTGCATTAGCACCAGTAATGATATACTACAGGTCTAGAAATGCCTATTTCATATCCATACATACAAGCATCAGATCTAAAAACTTAGCTGAACAATAAAATTTCCCTGATACTTCATGGTATAGGTTGTGCACATCATTTGCTTTGGCACCTTTGCCCACAGCAGTACCATGCTTGTTAGCTACTCTGCAGTCCTATCTTTCTTAAATTGGCACTCTCACTGCCTGGGAATCAGGCAGAGAATGCCATGCATTTGACCTATTCTACATAAATGAACAAAAATTCTAGAAAGATTGTGCATTTTCTGAGTCTCTCTCATTATTTCTTTCATAGAATAACTGGCCTGAGATGCTTTTCAGATATTTTTGCCGCCCCGGCTTAGCAGAAAAAAAGTAGGTTGTAACTCTAAACTGCAGCATTTAAACTAGGCACCTGACTTAGGACAATTCAAAAGGCAATGTTAAAACAACATATTTAAATAGTGTGTGGAATAATCTCAAGAAAATATTGTGCCTAGAATATTAATGAAAACAACAAATTAACATGATTCTGTTTTCTGAATGCTGACATAAGTAAAAGTTAGCAAACAATTAAGGACTCCCTTTTAAATCGGTGAAATCGATTCAAAGCACCTGGGACACCAGAGAGAATAGCAAGCAACTGTTACAAAAATAAAGCTGTAGAAAGAAACGGGGGAATCTATAATCTAGCTTTAGCTTGCTCTCAATAAAAAGAGATTCTCACTGTCTTTCACAGTAAGAGATAAAGTATTAGACACTACAAAAAAAATAATGGAGAAAAAGTATTTATTTAGGGAAAAGATGGATAGCTTACAAGCAAAAAAACTGCAAAGTGGGTGCACACATGCATGTCTGTATGGGAGGAAAAGAGGGGGAAGATAGATAATGACAAAAATCAAGACAATTAGCAGAAACATCTCATGAAAATAGTACCCGGAAGAGCAGGAGTATTTTCTCTCCAGTTAATGCTGGACAATACCCACCTGAAAGAGGGTGGTAATACAGAGACATGGAAGTGATTTATACAGATTCTCAATCTGTTTCATGAAGAGAATGAGAAACCTAAGAGCAGGAAAATATGGACTGAAAGTCAGTCACTCACCCAAACACCTGTAGGGAACCACAATATGGGGGTGGCCGTTGCATTGCTTCCATCCCCTCTTGCACCAGTTCTGGATCGTAACTGGCTGGTTGGCTTCAACAACATTGGTGATTTGTAATTCAGGGTAGACCTAGTGTTAAAAGTATAAAAAAGACAAATATTATCACAAGTATGCACTCTGGGTCATGCATAATACATGTGTTTGTAACACGGATATCACTCTTTTTCCTATTTTCTCTCTCCTGTTGTGTAATACATTTACTTCATTGTATGAAAATATGCACTTACCTGGAAAGCTGGTGAGTTGCTCATCAGTGAAAACATGTGGCTGCCAATTCAGAATAGGATGGCGGTAGCAGCTGGCTGTCAAAATACAACTTGGCCATTTATACTTGCTTAAGCTAAAGATCAGCTAAACAGGTGTCTCACAGTTGGCTACAACATGCTCTCCTCCAGATCTAGGCTATTTGCTTTCCTTGAGAAACTCCACATACTGGGCCAAATCTCCACACATTTAAAACTAATAACATGTCTTCATGTTTACCTCAGTAATTTTAATAAACATCAATTCTTTCCTGCTTCAGTCTGCATAGTATTAAGTTTGTTGAATCTGTTAATCATATTTAGGCTTACATCACCAATATCAGCTTATGTCCATCTTTCCAAAATAGCTGAGATGAAAATCCTATCTGCTTTTAATACTGCAGTACACTTCTACACCTACAACCAAGCCGCCATGCCACAAACCATGTCACCAGCAAATTATATGACTATTTTATCGGCAAGCCACAACTTTAATCAAGCTGTATATATTTGACTTTTTATCTCCTTCAGACACTTTATCCCATCCCCCTTTTACATATCAATAGTCAGTAATGGCCTCTTTCACCAAGGACCTTTTGCTAACCTTTTGTGCAGACCCTCCTTGCAGTCACTTTCTACACGTGCATTTTATTGGGAGCACACTGCGTCACACAACACTGTAGCTCAAGCTGTGGAAGGATTTCAGAGCATGTAAACCACAATTTTTTTGGATAAAATTTAACAGGAATGTGTTCCTGGAGAAAACCTAACAGGTGGTTAGTCCACACCACCAGGCTATAGCTAACCAAAGCAAAGCCTGTGAAGCGCACCAGCATGGATGCTTAGCCCCTGTTGCTGCACTCCACACTCCCAACTCTCACTGCCATTACAGCAGCTGCTAGCACAGCCTATGGCTCTCGCTTTAGATTTTTAAAATTGGTAATCTATCAGCCCTATCACCAAACTCAGAAGGTACTAGTTTTCCTTCACCTTTCCTCAAGCAATCCTTACCATTTTCTGAGTATGCCAGATCTGAGGATTTAGGTGGACTGGAAACTACAGTCTATTCATACTAGACAGTGAAAAACAGAAATAGGAACAAGCGTGAGGAAATGCAAGTAATTGTCCAAAACAGATGCTTAGAAAATCACCACAAGAACCTCCACATCTCTGCCTTGAGGAAAAGGATTAATCTTAATCATGTATTCCCCCAGGAACACAGCATCCCAGTGGGCCATTGTCTCCTGGCACTCCACTGGCTGAAGGTTGAAAATGTACCTATGGCAAAAATGAAGCAAGCAGGCCGCATAACTACAGCCCTAGTAAGTTTCAAACTTTACAAGACACTAATAAACAACAAGATAAGCTTTTCAGGTTTGAGATCAATAGTCTTGAAATAAATGTGGCCTGGTCCACTGACAGAGTAACAACAGAAAGTAATCAAAGCATAACTGGAAATACTTGGGAAGAACTTCTTACTTTCACTAGCAGAAAGGACCTAGTATAAATGTAAAATTGGACTACATTAACAGCTTAATGCACAAAACAAGACCAAGTACACTAACAATCCAAGGAAATGACTACAGAAAGAATAACTACTTAAACAACACACTTTATACTAAAGAGATTGAACATCAACCTTGCTTTCTATTTTTTTTAAAAAGTGTTTTTAATTAGATACCTTTTGTTTTGCTGAAGTGCAATACGGAGCCCGTCTGATACATTTTTGCCAGCTTCAACAGTAACCTCAGCTCACTACAACAGATGGTTAAAGTGTGCACAGTCTTCATATGCAGCCTTCTATGTTAACCCACCATATGAGATACAGTTTACTTCAAGAAAGTCCACAGAGTAGAACTGAAAAATTAAGAGTGAAAGTTTCCAGCACTCAGAAGACTGTAGCTTTGCTTTGCTCCTTTTGTCAGCATGTGACCAGGGCTCATGGTCATCATCCGTATTATAAATACATCACAATTTTTACACTCCTCGCATAAAGTGGCTCCAGAGGCACTTGCTGCTCCCCCTGCTCCATCAGCACTTCAAATACTGAACTCTGAACTGAAACAGCAAGGCTGCAAATTCAAGGAAAGCTCCCTTTCTTCTTCAGTCTCTTTATCTTTTACTTTAGGTCTGCCCTCAGTTTCACCAAACAGGTCTGCACACGTTCATGCTCTATACTCGTCACAGCACTGCCAAAATGGATTAGGATGTCACCATGGCAGGCAATTTCACACCTCAACTGCTGTGTAAATATTACACTGGCAGGCACTGTAGCTGCCTCCAGAGCTAAGAAGCAAGATGCAAGAGAAATATTTTATTTTCTTTGGACACTTCCTTATGCAGTTGACATGCTGTGCTCTTCCAAGTTCATATGTCCGCAAACATCATATCTGAATAATTACAACCCACAGTTACATAATGTCAGATGCTGTCACAAAACAGGCACTTGATATATTGTCACGTCACCAACACGTTCTGACAGGGCACATTTTAACATTCCTCAGGGTTAAGTCTCACTTGTCAGGTAAAGAGGAAGTATATGTCTTATTTAAGACAACTAAGAAATATTCACAGTGGTTGGGTTGGAATGTTATAAAAACAATTTAGGAAAAAAAAACAACAAAGCACTTTCTTATGCATCCACAGCAACAACTACACATCTTTAAAATTATAGAAAACAGGATTCTGATTCTTGAGAAGAAAGACACAGTTGCTTTCTTGAAGTGAATTTCTTGTGAGCAAGAAACTATTAGAATCATAGAATCATTCCAGTTGGAAATGATCCTTACGATCGAGTCCAACCATCACCCCTACTCTACAAAGTTCTCCCCTAAACTATGTCCACCAACGCCACATCATTACTGTACACACATTACTGTAGAACCTTTTTGAAACAGTAATACTGAGGAGATGGAGGAGATATGGGGTTTTTTGTTTTTGTTTTTCCTAAAACTTTATAAGTTTAAAAGTTTTCCTAAAAGTTTAACTTCTGGTTAGTACAGTGGACCTAATTCTAAGTAGTTAACAATATGAGTCAAAGGCACAGTAGGATAAAAAAAAATACAAAGGCAGCCTTCTGTTTCTACATCAGTTACTAAAATTCTAATTTCCTTTGACAGTTCACACAAAGCTCTGTCTACCCTTCACAAGAGAACACAGGCTTTGAGTTTCATTATCAATAGGTCAATGTCAACAATGAGTATGCACTGAGGAAGTTCTCTACACTAGACTTACATAAGGTATTTGCTCTGAACTGAAGTGGGACCTACTTAGTGGCACAGAAAAATGAGACTTGTATTTATTTATAGTGTCCCTAATGAGACACTGCTCCTTCTAGAGTCAGAGCGAGTAGCTCCAGAAAGTTATGAGAAGCAAACTTCCAATATTTTTGTAACTTGCTCAGAGTAATTCCTTTAATGTACCTAAGAAGGGATGCACGAAACAGAGGTCAATATAATCTAAAAGCTTTAACTGGCAATCAAAAGTTACAGCTAGATCTGATTTTACTTCCATTGTCATTACTAAGTTTCCTTGTATACCTACTTCAGAAACAAAAATTTTAAAAGCCTCTGAACTCGGGCTACTGAGAATTGAATGTAATCTTGTTTACACTACCGTTCACCTCTACCAAATCTGACAACACATGGATTTAGGACTAGAATGTAGATGTGCTTAATAAAGGGTATTTTGATCTGTCTACATATATAGGTGTTGATGTAAACAGCAAACAGGTCAAATATGCGTTAGCCAACCAGAGACTAGGAATTAATTTGAAACAAATCTGAGAAAAACAAAAAGATATGTCAGAATAAATGACTAAAGGAAAGTAGTGGATGGGCCACCACCACAGCTGTCCCTCCTGCCTGTGAAAGAAAGACCAGCCAAGAGGCCTTTTGGCATTGCTGGTGCAGGCAGTTGCATCCCCAGGACCCTGGGGTACTGGGAGCACCAGCTGCTGACGTGGGACAGGGAGGCCATTTGAGGAAGGACAGGTGGGACAACGGATGACAGCCACTGGGCAATATGAGCTCCCCACAGTACACTGCAGGCAAGAGGGGGGCATGGCCCTTCCTGGAACACCATGCCTAGTGACAGGGCCAGCAGCACAGGACTTGGGTAAATTGGAAGGAGTTCAAAGAAGAGTCAAACAGCAATGATGAGATCACGTATCCCACACAGAGGAAGTCCTCAATGCCAGGAAGCAGTATTTCAGCATAACCATATGAGAGGTAAGTTACCTCTATACTAAAAGGCATTTAGAGCAACAAAATGTAGTATTTCATCTCTTGGTATTATTTATCTTCTAGAGCAACTCTGACCATTCAGAATATTGCTTCTTGACACTGTTTCCCACAGTATATTCATAGAAAAACTGGCTGCTCATGCCTTGGATGGGCATACGTTTTGCTGGGTTAAAAACTGATTGGATGGCTGAGCCCAACAATTTGTAATCAATGGAGTTAAATCCAGCTGGTGGCCGGTCATGGGTGGTGTTCTCCAGGGCTCAGTATTGGGGCCACTCCTGTTTCACATCTTTATCAATGATCTAGACAAGGGGATAGAGTGCACCATCAGTAAATTTTCAGATTACATTAAATTGGGTGGAAGTGTTGATGTGCTTGAGGGCAGGGAGGCTCTGCAGAGGGATCTAGACAGGCTGGATCAATGGGCCAAGGCCAATTCCAAGAGTTTCAATAAGGCAAAATGTTGGGTACTGCACTTCAGCCACAACAACACGCAGCACCGCTACAGGCTTTGGGAGGAGTGGCTGGAGAGCTGCCCAGCTGAAAAGAACCTTGGTGTGTTGATTGACAGCCAGCTGAACAT